TATATAGAGAGAGAGAGAGAGAGAGAGAGAGAGTTAAGTTCATATATAAACCACAATTATTGTGTGAATGTAAGACTAAATGTGGTCCAATCATTTGACAAATGCATTATAATAATTTAATTAATTAAATTAATTATTATCTAAATTAAATATCTATAATTTAGGCAACTAATCAATATTTTTTAATTCAAAATCCACTATTTTAGGACGTCTAACCCAACACCATTATAATATTATAATCGATATCAATCGCTATTTTCACCGTCGTAGAACCTCATCAACATGTGGCTCACTCCTTTGAAGTTATCATTCATATTCTTTTTTTATAACAACTATGTTATCGTCGATATTAGAGGCTATCAATACCAGAAACAAAGATTGAGATTTCACATGCTACATTTATGTGTTAAAAAATAGGTTACATGTCTACTTAATACTAATTCATTAAAAAAACTGACAGAATCGGATATCAAGTGATATATTCTCAAATAATTCTTCAGATTAATTCTTATAGAATATGTCGTACTTATTCTTAAAGAATACAATAGCTTTATTCTAAAAGAATGCGTAATTAATTTTAATGAATACATAATTTTTATTCTAAAAGAATATGAAAAACAGTTAGGATTTTTTTTGTTTTTAATCCATGATTTTAACAAACATGTTGGAAAAGAAAAACCCCAATAATTACCACCAACTTTATTCTTGGCTAATGTGGTTGTTAACTAAAGAAACATATGAACTAAACATTTCCAATTCTTCAAGAACGATGTTTTATTACTTATGATCATGACATGTACTACTGTGTTATTCTTCAATTTTATTCAATAAAGTTAAAATACATTTAGTAACAGTGAAAACCCTAATCGATTACATGTGTTATAGGGATTCATTCTTGAAGAATAATACGAACAACAAACATAATGTCGGAAAAACAAAGTCATCATCGTCTGGTGCTAACGGAAAATGAACAATATTCTTAAACTTCAATTGAAAGTTCTTTTTTAACCTCGAACCCAATCTCCTGCTCTTCATTCTGTTTTTTCTACACCTAGGAATTCTTGATTTTTGGTTTTCAGAAACGTGCTCCTGCTTTTTAGTGTGAGAATTCACCGACAATCTTGCAAATTATAATCCTTCATGATTCTTTAGCAATGGTTGTAGAATGAAGGTAAATTATTGTATTTTTGTTCCAAGATTATAGATTGTGGAAGATAATCACGTATCCCAATTTAGTCGACATTTCCTTATTTGAATATTTGCAGAAAGTGAAGAATATCATATGATCGGTTTCTTCTATAAACAAATTAAATATATTCTTAATAATTACAATAATGCCATAACATTCTTAGCCTTTAGATTTTTTTTAATTCTACAGTTCTCATTAAGTCATACATTCACACTATACTTAAGTTTCACATTTAATCTTAACCCTATATATATATATATATATATATGAAAAAGTTCAATAGAAAACCATTATTAATTAAGGAACCAAAGAATCAATCCAAAGCGTCGAAATTTAAAGCGATCAACGACAAAAGGAATGGTTGTAGACTTTTACAATGAACGCACATGCACCGGATTATAACAAAACCCACTTACTTTTTTCGTTTAAAATTTTTTTAGGCCATTTTTTTATTGAAAAAAAAAATGAATATACCGTTGTCCACGGTTTTTCGTGCTCTTTCCATAGATCCATGATGATATATAAAAAATGAACTTTTTTTTTCGAAAAAAACCCACTTTATTTTCTTTGTTGAAAAGTTAAGCTCTATTTTGTTATAGAAAAAAATTAACAAATATATCAAAATTCATACTTTTTTTCTTATTCGAATATACGATTTAATATTATATTTTTACGTTTTGTTCGTTCAGATTATATAATATTTTTTTTATGTTTTGCTCGAATAAACAAATTAAAATAGAACCCAGATACCTATCAAAGATCAAATATAATTATTTAATGTTGTTTTTTATGTGTTTTTCGTTTACATCATTCGTTTATGTGGTGAACTTTTTTTTTTATTCAACTTTAAGATGTTTTATTGTTACTTAATGAGTATTAATAAACGGTAGATTTAATTTAAGATTATATATATTTTATGTGCTTTATTTTTTTATGTTCAGACAATATATATTTAATGAGTATTAACAAACGGTATATTTTATTTAGGATTATTCTTTTAACAAATAGTTGTTATTTTGATTGTTGTTATGGCGGTATGATAGTTGTTGATCCTAATATTTAAGATTATTCGTTTAAAAAGTAATTATAAAACCTTTTAAAGTTGAAAAAAAAAATAAAGTACATAAACGAATGATGTAAACGAAAAACACATTAAACGAAAAACCACAAAAATATATTATTTGTTAGGGCATTGTTACATAAATTTAGATTTCTACGTAGATTAAGAAAGTGAAAATTAGATTGGTTTGTTTGGGTTAAATTTTTGTATTTATTTCCTAGCATCTTGATGGGTTTTTTCATTGGAATTTGTTGATGCTAAAAAAGAAAGTAACGTCTGATTTTGGTGTAAAGTTTAAATAACATTTTTTATTTAAGAATAAAAGTGTAACTTAATAAGATAAATATAAAATCTTGATGACTTAAATCATTATCAACAACCACTTATTTATCATGCATCATGCATATCTGTTATTTAAGACAAAAGGTTTCTAAAAATAAAATAAATTGTAATATTCGTCTCCTTTCTTGATATAATAGTACATGTATGACAGTGTGAACATGTGCTGATGGGCCGAGCTGTTTCGTTTCGGTTTTAACGTAAAATTGAAACTAAATCATAATTGTTATGTACTTAAGTTTGTTTTTTTTTTTTTTTTTTTTCTTTTTTAAAGTTATATTTCTACTTATAATAAAATCCTATACAAATATGAACTAACAATGATATATCTAATTCAGATATATTACTGAATAGTTATTAGTTCACAAATTATAAGATTTTAGATAATCTAAACACCATAGTTTAATAACAAAAGGGTCCATTTATTTTTTTTTGATTTAAAAAAAAAAAAATCCTCACATAAAGTTACCAATACACGCTAAAATGAGCATCGTAAAATACAATTATACCAAAAAAAAGAATAATAAACTAAAGAAATTAAATAAAAAAACAGTAAAAAAGTAACGAAAGAATAAGGAAGAGGATGCAAAATAAGAAAATACTAAAAAATGGCAAAAAAAAAAGGCAATTGAATTATTGTTAATATTTAGATATTCTTTGCGCTCTATATATGTTTAATGTTTTCCTCACATTTTGGAATTTCTTTTTTCAAGATTTCCAACTGTTATAATAAATTCCAGTTTTACCCTTTTTTCAGAATTAGGATCTCTTCAGGTCCCATCATGACATGTAAACTTCAATGCTTGAGCTTCTGAAGGAAAGACACAAAGGGCACGACTGAACGACGTCGTCACACTCTGTACAGACGCACAGATGCCGACACGGCAACAGCACCACCGATGCGATCCGTTTTCCACACGCCTTACATCCGGGTCCACTCACCACCACGACTCGTTCTGGGTCAATGTACGACGACTCGGCGTCTTCCGCATCACCCGCCGCCACCTCCTCACCTTGTGACACACACCCTCCTACGCCGGTAACAATTGCTTGCTGCAGCTGTGCCTGCAACGCCGCCGCGACCGCCTCCTGTGCCCTCGCCTTCGCCTGCCAAACGTTCGCCTCCGCGCTAAGTTGCGATGCTCGAGCCTCCAGTTCGGCGTTCCGCCGAAAGGCTTTCTCTGCCAACGCCTCCTTGTCCTTTATCATCCGCGACGCTGAATCCTTCGCCGCCCCGATCAGAGAAGTGTAGTGCCTTTGCCTCTTCTCTGCTAAATTCCGCCTGAACTCTTCTCCCTAGGGATACTGAATTTCAGCTACCAATTTGCTATTGATAAAAAAACGACGAATATATTTTACTTTTTAACGGGTTCTTACCTGGGATTGAAGATAATTGTCGATTTCATCTCGTTGTTGGTTGATTAGGTTGGATAGATCTTCTGAAAACACGGATACAAAACCAGAGGATTGAGGAGAAACGGAGTGTTGTTGATGGTGGTGGTCATTGAAAGCCAGTCGGAGTCCAGTAGATACATCAATATTTCGTGATTGATCAATTTGGGAAACATCCATGAGTTGATTGCCATGACCATGAGATTGTTGTTGATGGATATTAGACATATAATAATTCATAACATCTTCTCTTCCTCTTTTTCTTTGATTCGTAGTATAATTCCCGACTGTATCAACAAAAGAAACCGTTATATATTCCAATGTGATTGATAAAATCATATTCAGCTTTATTGTATGAAGATTCACATACATACCTGGAAAATTGTTGAATAAGGTGTGGTTGAGAGATTGATGATCATTATTAGTCCCTACTCCACCACCACAACCAACTCCGCCGCCTGATTGTGGTGGCAAAGGATACTTATTTCCATTTTGGGTAGCTTTCCCTTCTTGTATGGACATGGTTCTGCATGATAAAACGGGCTTCTTTTTCATGATTCTGTTTCAATCCGATCTCATAATTATATGGATCGATGGATAGAGGATCAAACCTGTTAAGAAGGAGAATATTTGATGAACATTGAGCTTGAACCGCCATTGTTGTACCTGATTTGATGTATGTTTGGAGTTTGGAATGGTGTGATGGAAAGAGAAAGAGAAAGAGAGCTGGGTTAATAAATGGCAGCACAAAAACGCATGATATGGAAGATGAAGGTGCTGGTACCCTATTCAAAACATATTGGGCGGAGTCTTCAATGTATTTCTTTAAATCAATCAAAATATTAATTTTTCAAGCAAGAATATATCACTCAAATTTACTTCATATCATATTTTACTTTTAAGCCTATTATTTTGACAAAGGTGTTATTGTACGTATCCCTTTATTATTACCAGGTCCAATTATACGTATCTCTCTATTATCGATCGTATTTTTTATATCAGTTAGTTACACCAAAATAAGTTCCATTAAATCAACATTTTTATTTATTGTACCATCTAATTTGATTTTTTTTTTCTTTTCCTTTTTACCATTGAGAATGATACATTTGATCGTAAAGATGGTTTGGGATCATTTTAGAAAAGCTACGTTAAACATTCAATTTAAGGAAACAAAGTTATGTAAGAAAATTGTAGTGGATTTTTCGCCATAAGTTGTTGATCCAGTTGTTCGTAAGAAAACATATATAAACATATATACGTCCACGATTGAGGAAACAACAGTAAAAAATATACCGTACCCCACCCAACCCCCTACCAACTCAAGATCCTTATAGATGTTATTTTTCTATGTATACATAAGATTATTCAGAGACTAATTGGTTTGATTTAAATAAGGACCTAGAAAGGCATAACATGTATTTGTTTTGAGAATATTCAATGGAGAACTCATATTTCAACCAAGCACTTATGAATGAATTCCACATGAATTTCATATCCATATATGGGCAAGATGTAATTGGATATGGAACTTGTGGATTCCACAATGTTCTTTCTTTTGGTCATACTGAAGATTATTGGCATCAGATTCGGTCGAGATTATGCATCATGCTATTAGCACATCTTGGAGAGTACACAATGATTTATGGTGATTATTTTAACACAAAGAGTCGCTCATTAAATCCCTATAGATTTGGTTCTGTGACATCTGAATAATGGTTGATTATGTCAGACACTGTTATTCTCATTGTTAACATATACAATATTATCGTTCATTTTCTGAGCAGAAAAAAAATTCTACAACATGGTTCTCACGTTGGTATTGCCCACAAGACATCCCAAATCATGATTTGTTGTGATGACCTATGTTTATAGTAGCCATTATGTAATGGTTGATTTACATGGAGTCTATCTAATGTCCACTTTTTTGTACTTTTTTGTCATATTGACGTACATACAGATCATAATATTCTGTTGAATGGAAAACCTTGTATATGCTTGACTAAATGCCTATGTTCCACATAATACACATAATGCACCACATAATTATAATACTTAACAGTTAGAGAGTGTGTGTTGTCTTTTCGTGTTGTGTTATGTTTAGTGTGTTGTTTTGGTGGTTTTGCCTAAACGCCCTTCTACGGTTAAAAGTCTTATGTAGGCTTAGGCCTATGCTACTATAGTGGTGTTCATAAAGTTTGTGTTGTTCAAGAGTTTCTATCATGTACGAGTTTAAATGATCAAGTTGGAGGTGTATTGTAGGTGATATATTCTTGGTTTTGATCAAGTATTTTTTGAATCATATAGTAATGGGTGTGCATGGGTCGGTTTGGGTCGGTTTTGGACCCAAACCCAACCCAACCCATAAATGGTCGGTTTCTG